CACGCACAGATTCACACTAATTATAAGTCTAGCGCCCGCGATTACGCAACAAACGTCGTCCGTGAGAAGTAGTTGTCGTAAGTAAAAACGAAAATCAATATGCCGTCTTGTGTCGTTAAATTTTATAAAAATCATAGTGGTTTTATCAAAAATCTTAAAGGAATCACCTTTCAAAGGTGTGTCAGTAATTATAATCGCTTATTTAAGAATTTTATGCTATTTTTGGAACACAAAACATGAGTCACGTGATCAGTGTTGTTAATTATTTATATGGAAAATTACCCGAAATTTGGGAAATTCGTATTTATACCTACGTTGGCACGGATACGGTATAAATGTTTCCCAACAGCCTCTTAAGGTTGTTTATAATAATAATAATAATTTATTTGATACAGACAACACAGATCCATTATAAAAATAAAATTAAAATTTTTTAAACTATACCTTAAATTTTAATTATAATTATTGGTTAATCAATGATATTATTACATTTTATTAATAACATTTTAATAATTTTAACCATCTACTAAAAATTTCACTACATGCATATATATTACTAATAATTTTGATGAGATTATTCTGTGACCCAAAAACAAAACTTTTAAATCGCGCGATACGGTGACGGATCATCGCATCCAAACCAACGACACGGGCCTCTGCGAACATCTGAGACGCGCTACAGTATCGTGGCTGACGGAACAACACGCGGAACGAATCATTATACTGCACCTTAAGCCTGCGATATTCCTCTTTAGTGTAATTCGTCCACAGCTGAGGAGTGTAAAGTGGCTGACAGTAAGCTGAAAACAACGCCAGCTTTGAGGTATAAGAACACCTTTGAAAGCGTCTAGCTATCATGTTGGCATGCACTGACAAGGAACGACGCTCGCGGTCCATATCGGAACCATCACACAGATCCTGAGTAACAATATGACCCAGGTATTTAAACGTCGTTACCCACTCCAATTGTGAATTACACAATTGGGGATATGAGGTTGAACCCTACCACTCTTAAAAAGCAAACAAACAGACTTGTTGGTGTTGTACAATAGGTTATGATCCATTGCATATTTCTCACATATCTGGAGTAGTGCACGCAGCGCACCAATCGAGGGACTCAGCAGCACCATATCATCAGCATAACTCAAGTTATTAAAGCATTCAGAACCAATGTGGCAACCCAGTTCGGTGCTTCTAAGCTCCTCGATCAGCTGATTAACATATATATTAAAAAGCATAGGCGATGTTAGCCCTCCCTGCCTCACACCGCATTGTAGGAGAAATTCCTCAGAATATGTATCACGCCACTTTACTACATTAATTTGCCTACTATACCATGCGATCAATATGTTATTACATAATGACGGCACTCCCGCATCACGTAACTTCCTCCAAAGTATATCATAACTGACTCTGTCAAAAGCATTACTTAAGTCCAAGAAACATGCATAAATATTTGTTTTCCGCTTATTATAATAACTAACGGTTTGCTTTAAAGTAAAAATCGCCGCATCCGTAGAACTATCTTTTTTAAATCCAAATTGAGTCTCCCTAATTTGTATATATTTGGAAATAACGCCTAATAATATGGTGTCAAGTGTTTATGTGCACTTTTTTGTTACAATTTTCCTGAAAAATTACCCGATCAATTATAATGCGCTAATATGCATTTTTTGGCCATAGATCATTATGTTGTGCTGTAATCGTGATTTTTATTTTTTACTATGTTACCATTTTCTGAAAATTGGACTGATTATAATACGGTTAAGAAGGTTCTTAAATGTGTTGCCATGTTTAACTTAGTATATAATATTTTTTTCTTGTATTCGAATGCAAGGTGGCTTTAATGACAACCCTAATGTCAGACAGTTCAAAAGTTGCTACAGAAAACTGCTGGCACATCTAGAATTTAGGTTAGGAACAAGTAGCTGTGCTTGATTGCACTTCGGCTACTCAAATAATCAATTCCACTACACCATCATACCGTCACGAAGAAGATGATGATGGTATTTGTGATTCATTATCATTTTTAAATGAAATTACTGAAGAAAATGATGAGCTAGCTAAGCGACTAGGGGTAGAATCACATAATGACTATCGTAAGTTAGTAATAGGATATGTGGCGGGTAGCATTTGCTTATTAAGCAACAAAAAAAATTAAATGCCAAAAATGCACCGCGCGTTTGTATACTGTAGAAAGGCATTTCTTTCATTCATAATAAAAAAAACATAATTTGAAAAATAATAAATAAATTTAGAAGGTTTACGCTTTCCATCTAACGATTTATTTAATATTTGTTCTACTTGCGAAATGGTTGTACGAAAGATTATTAAGGAAAACATTACAATGTACAATGAAAGGCAACAAAAGTATATACTTACAAAAATATTAGAAAAGTTTATTGTCAATGACAGGGTTTTTGTAAGCTTGGAATTTGAGCACACATTCGCAGGGATAGAGCACAAGATAAGTCTTATTAAATATATAGCAGAAAAATATTTGGCGATTGGATTCCAGCATATTTCTAAATTAGAGGGGATTTCAAGAACCTTCGAAAGTAAAAGACAGTTGTTTAAAAAAAATTCAACAAAAAGGTTTTTTTTATAGGATAAGGGTGACAAACGAGCACACAGTCCACCTGATGGTAAGTGGTTGCTGCGGCCCATAGACATCTACATATATCCTCTATTACAAATCAAAATGTAGATGCGTTGTCACCCGTGAGGACAAAGATGGAATGCCTCATTTCCAGTAAAAAGGGCCTCCAGCCACCTGCACTCACCAAGCGAAACGCAGAGGTAAACCTCTACTTCACGCTGGTTTTCTGTGAGGTCGTGGTACCACCCCGGTTCGAGCCGGCCCATCCGTGCGACAGCAAAAGCTGCCGCATGGCTCTACCACTGTTAAAATTTTTAGTATTGTTGTTTGTTATGACAATGAGTAAATTATGGTAATTATTTATGACTTATTGTCATAAATTTTTCAAAAATTATAGTTATTATTTACACTTGCAGAAAATTTAAAGAAATAAATATATTAACTTTGCCCTCTCAGTATATTTAAGAAAATTTAATGTATGTATTTGTATTTTAGTGATGTACATTCTGTAAATACTAGGAAAAAGCACAAGTTAGTTATACCAGTTAATCGACTCAAAAGAGTCAGTAAATTCTTCATGTATACATGTAGACATGTCACAACAAAGTCTCAGAAAATATGCTGGCCGTATCTATCCAAGTTTAAAATATTTATCAGGTAAAAATTGTTTAGTAAGGATTATTAGGGTATACTACTAAAGAGTACATGATTAATAATAACTCCAGAGAATGAGGTGATCACTACCATGCTGTTTCTAAAGGTTTTCATACTAATTCTAAAATAATATATTGTAAATTAGTTTTATATTAATTTTTTGGTTACCTATAATATGTTTACTTGTTATATATTTCGTTCCAATAATATAATACATTTTTGTATAATATAATGTTTGTAATAAAATTAATTTAAATGGAAATTGATTAAAATATAATGATTCGATTTCAATCAAAATCTAAATCTTAAATTCATAGATTTTTTTAATCGTCAAATGTATTATTTATATTGGTTACGTAATAATAAATTGGTATTTCGTCAAAGTTACGTTATATTTTGACAGATTGTTTTATAAAAAAAAAAAATGGGGAAATTTTGTTTCACATGACAACCCTATATAACACGCAAACATACTTGCACCGCCGACATTACAGTGCATCATTCCTTTCTTAACAAAATTCTGTCCGCCTAATTTATACGTCCATGTTTAACAATCATTTATCTTTCTGAAAATGTGCTTTTTATATCATTTATATGTATAATATGAAGGCTAGATACGACGATTTCATGCGACAAAACGTTGGAACCTTGATTTTTAGGCGCTAGTAGAACATACCTACGCGCGTTGCGCTTACGGCATGCAATATTTCTGTGATAATGTCCACTACTACCATGTATCTAAGCTTTGTATTTTTCCCATAAATTTATTATTTTAATAACCTTGTATAATTTCTAAAAGTGCCGTTATCAGACAACTAAACTACTACTAAACTACTAAACGAAAAACATACAGGCATCCTAATTATATTGCACTTGAAAAAAATTGGCCCAGTTTTAGTGGAGGAAACAGACGTGTAGTGGAATAGTATGATTTCGCTAATTTTTCATAGGTATAATCAATGGGAGTTGCAGTTGCCTCTCTCGGTTATCTAGCGCGGTCGATACCGCATTGGATCTGTTAAAATATTTCAAAAGTTTTCTTCAAAAGTCGTTTCGCTCGCATTACCTCAAGATACCATCTGGGTTTCAATTTTGTCGTGGCGGTGTAAAACTATCCACTACCACATATCGTCAAGTACGTGTCGTAAAACGTGACAGAGATAAAAAAGCAAGAGATGGACATGTCTTGTTTTCTTTTTCTTTTAGTAGTGTCTTTCTAACAATAACTAGCAAATGAAAAAACTCCGGTTGCCAACCCAAGCGTTACAACTATCGAACATATTACTTATTACTGTAACTTTTTTTTATTAAATAGAATAACATCTTCACAAAGTTGAGGTTATACAATTTGGGTAATAAGTTATAGATAAGATCATTTGTAACCGTAACGAGGATATCTGCAGAAGAATAAGAGTAATTGACACAGCCCAAAGGACCAGTAAGCCAAGAACTGACAACCGATGGGGAAGAAAAGTTTTCGACTGGCAGACTCGTACTCGGAATCGTATTGATGGGCGACCCCACTAGATGTATGGATGGATAATGGTGGCTCAGGGTTGTACTTTGTGGCATGTTCATCAGTGGACTTGTGATGGACTGTAGTGAATACTGATAAGTATAGATATTTTAACTAAGGCAAAACTAATATTTTTTTTAACCCAATCGATATACTAAAAATAAAATAAAAATGATCATAAAGAAAACATTATGTATTAACAAATATTCTTAACTTAGGTAATAATTTTTTTTATAATAATTTCATTTTAATCGTGTTTAATCTCGATCTAAATGATAGAATAACAGTGAGTAATTTTATTAAAATCTTAAATGATATATAAAGTGTGACTAAAATTAGAAATGCTAAATCCAGGTAGAGTTTTTGATACCAAGGCACCAGCTTCGCTGGAGAACGCAAGTGAGGTGCGCCGTTTGTCTTTATCACGTGAGACACCCAATATGATAATACTTTGCCAGGTGAATTCAAGCGATCGTGAAATATAAGCGAATATTCTTTCACTTTTTGAACGAATCTGAAAATATAATTACAATAATAAGTACATATAAACACTAATAAATAATAGCTTACATAAAACCGACAAAGTGCGAGTCGGGCCTCGCTTTACTAGGGTGCCGTACAAATTACGAACAATTAAACTCTATTAATACTCGTATTATTTTCGAGCTAGATATCAACCCGACCCGTGAAAGAAAAACAGTGAGATTACGAACTATATTATGAATCGATGTTTTTAGTAATTGTTAGGTATTAAAATACTTTGTATGATCATCATCATCATCATCATCATCATCATCATTACAGCCCTTCACAAGTCCACTGCTGAACATAGGCCTCCCCCAAAGAATGCCACAAAGCACGGTCCTGAGCCACCTGCATCCATCGACTTCCTGCATATCTTACCAGGTCGTCACTCCATCCAGTGGGGGGACGCCCTACACTTCGCCTGCCGGTACGAGGCTGCCACTCGAGAACCTTTCTTCCCCATCGGTTGTCGGTTCTTCGAGCTATATGGCCGGCCCATTGCCACTTCAGCTTACTAATCCGTTGGGCTATGTCGGTCACTCTAGTTCTACTGCGGATATCCTCATTTCTGAGTTTATCACGCAGAGAAACTCCGAGCATAGTCCTCTCCATAGCTCGCTGAGCGACCTTGAGCTTCCTCATCCGGCCAGCAGTGAAGGACCACGTCTCAGTTCCGTATGTCATCACTGGCAACACGCACTGGGTGTACAGTCTCGTTTTCAAGTTTTGAGGTATACCTGACGAGAAGATGTGCCGTAATTTCCCGAACGCTGCCCAACCGAGTTGAATCCGTCGATTGACCTCTCGGTAGCTTTGTATGATGCATAATAAAAATAAACTTCAATTCTCAATTGTTTTTGAGACATTGTGAGACAGACCCAGTAACAAAGATGACTTAAAACTTTAACGGACATTAATTTATTTTAGAAGATAAAAACGAAAAATATATTTGTATTCTACTCAGTCAGCTCTAGTCAATTATACTCGTATTCCAAATTGGTTTGAGGTCGCCGTTTCGTTTCGTTTCTTCACCAAATATCCTTATTTCAGGTCTGTAACGCAATCCGTTTACAAGCTAGAGATCCGTGATTTGGGGAAGGATAGATTAAAAGGATTTTATTAGCTTGATTCTCCTAAAAGGAAAATTTTTAGTTAAAAGCTAAATGTAAGATATAAAAAAACCGCGAGGTCTAGATGTCTAAAGAATTAAAAATGCTATGTTGAAGACATGGACTGCTCACAAGTTTTTTTTTACAGTATACACAGCACAGCACACAGTCAACCTGATGGTAAGTTGATGCTGTAGACCATAGACATCTACATCCAACTTCAATTAAGAAATGTAGATGCGTTGTCAACTCTGACGATAAAGAGAGAGTGCCTCGTTACCGGTAAAAAGAGACACCCACCATACATGAACATGAAATACAGCAGCATTACTACTGGTATTCAGTGAATGCTGGGTCCTTCCTCGACCGAGCAGACCCAGTCGCGCTTCCACCATAATATAGCTTGTACGTTCAAGTAATTGGGTAGCATGGCGGGCTTTTCCTTCCCTGAATCCCTCATAGAATGTGAAGGAGGCTATGCTATGCAGTAAGAAGTATATTTGTTTTTTTCTTACAAGCCATTAAAAGCAAAATTATTTGCGGATATGAACACTATAATCATCATCATCAGCCCCTAAAAGCTTACTGCTGGACACGAACCTTCCCGTTGTAAGCAGCAATTGCCTTAATCGTCATGCTTGACAGTTGGGTCGACGATCACAGTACCAGAACATTGACGCTGCAGCCCGTCACCCATCTGTGCATTTTGTGCCTGGCATACTAAATGAGATGGATACACCGCCATCAATCGGAAACCAAAAGATTCTTCTGGCATATCCTGTAGTCTTTTCTTACGCCACCCACAAAACAAATGAGGTGATAGTAGATGTGTCTCTTACGCGACATTTAATAGGGAGCGGTTTTTTCAGTACCGGAGTATCAGTGATGACCATTGCCAGCCCAACGTGGTGATTATAGAAAAACAATTCAAAAATCGTCTACTAGTCCGTGAAGTAAAAAATGGAATACTGAACATGAAAATTACCTGGGTTCGTTTAAAACTTCTTTTATAGCTATATCCATTTGTGTTGCTATTTCACTGTTTAAATCTACTCTCTTGCCGAAACCTTTGTCTACTACTCTGTTGACATTTAGATGTTGATCACCGTACATTGGTACACCAATAACAGGAACGCCAAAATGCACAGCTTCGAGGATAGAAAGTAAACCTCCATGAGTGATAAACAATTTGCAGTTTGGATGTGCTGAAAGGTAAAAATATGAGGACAATATTAAATACAAAAGATACAAAATAAGTAAATTCACCATAGTATCATAAGATTATAAAAAGATAAATTGCGTGTAAGATTTTGTTACCACCTAGTATGAAAAATAGAAATAAATCTATACAAATAAATAAAATTGAAATGTCTGTTTGTAATGTCGAAATAACAGCTTTTTACTATGTGCATATGAAAGTATATACGATATTTATAACAAAAATACGATTTTTTAAATTTTGTCTGTCTATCTTTCTGTCTGTCTGTTTGTTCCGGATAAACTCAGTAACAGCTGGACCGATTTTAACCGGACTTTCACTGACAGATAGCTGATGCTACAAGAAGTAACTAAGCCTACTTTTATTTTAGAAAAAGAATTAGGGTTCCGCGCAAAAAATTTAAATCCATTAAATCCAATCGTAATAAATTACACGTGGGCGAAGTCGCGGGGAACAGCTAGGGGAACAGCTACAAACGTCAGGAAGATCTAATGACCGCCAAAAAAGTAAATAACCAACAAAGGATATATTAAATATCAAAAAAGACGACGGTGGGAACCGTCAATGTTGTGAACAAACTGGTACTAACAACTTTGTTAACGAACGAACTTATATTTCACCTCATGGTAAGTACCCACTGCAGTCGATGGAAAGCTGCAGCCAATTTTATACAACGACTGCTACAGATGCGTTGTCACGTCTAAGAACTAAGACGGAATGCCTCACAGCATGTAATTTATACTGGCTTCTATACTCTTCAGACAGGAACGTAGCAATACAAGATGCATTTAACAACACAATCATGATATCTCTTAATATTTTTTATATTTTCGTAGAAATACTATACTACAGATATAAGAATCTGGTATGTACTATAATATTACCATCGAACGAAGCAAATAATATCATTGTGATTGTGAGGATTTCACAGATTAAAAAGATCAAGTAACCTTGATAAAAATTATGTGATAATATTTGATATTAGACATGACGTAATTATAATCAATGATATTTAACCCTGTAGAGGCGGTATGAGAAACTCCACCACCCATATCTTCCCGTGGGTGTCGTAAGAAGCGACAAAAGAAAACCAACCAGTAGACGGCTAGCAGCATCATTATAATTACAGCTAAAAAATAAGAAAGTGTGACTGAAAACACCCGCCTTTAAAACATGGCAACTATAGTAAATCTGATTTTTGAGGCAATTTATGTTGGATCTTTGTGGTACGGTATAACGGATCTATGATATTAGTCTTATTGTGCACCGATTGTTACGAGTGTTTTCTGGGTTCTGGATTCAACTACCAAACGGAGTCAATATTTATACCAAAACACAAATTGATGGTGGAGTGATTGTTCCCGACTCTGTCACTCCACTCGCTTAGGCCAGGTTGTAACAATCATGCAATAAAATAAATTTTAATCTCGTAGCATGATAGTTGATCGTTGGGATTTATGAAACGAATGAGTGTCTTAATACTGGCGCATAGGATTGTGGCAGTCTAGTATTTCCTGTACAATTTAAGGCTTCTCTAATTTTGTAGATAGTTTTCTTTTGAGGTTTAGTAAACAGTATCTGTACGTGGTTGCAATATTCTGTCTTACCTAAAATACCCAGCTGCGGGGCCCAAGTAACTATGTGTACGTTTTTCGGCAGGTCGGGTAACTCCTCTTCGAACTTCCAAAGAACAGTTTGGTTTAATTTACTAAATACTTTTAACAGTCCTCTTTTCATTTCAATGGGAATATTTCTGCTTAATAACATGGATCCCATACTAAAGTAGATTAATCCGTTTTTGGCATCGTCCATGAGGTTTTGCAAATTCTAATAAAAATATGTCAAAATAACGAGTTATGAAGTAAATATATAAATTTTTCTGAAAATGTAATTTCTTAAAATATTAACTAAAATGTTATATCAAATTTGTAATGTATCAAAACAGGCTCTATGGTGTTACTACATGACAATTACTTGTTTTTATCAACAGTAATAAAAGAGTTTTTAAAGGAAAGTTACATTTCTACTGTAAACGAACTTACTGATGGTAATGGATCGATAATTTCATTAATATGATATCCTCCAATTGGTACATAATTCCGAGGTAGGCGTACTGCTGCTCCTGAAGCAATATGTGAGTTTCCAAGCATTAGAGAACCGTTATAGCGTACTTCGTTGAAGGACGGCAGCTTTCGTCCTCTCTTGGTAACTGAAGATTCGAACGCAATGTTGAACATACTATTTTCTCGATGACGTAGTCTCCTTGAAAAAAAAAACATGTGTGCATTTTACACGCGGTGGAAGTGAAACCTTCAAATGAAATAAAATATAAAATAAAAGTATTTCAAGGCAAATTATTTATTTAATATGGTAATTTTCAACCACTTATTTTTAGACGCGTAGAGCCTAAATTTTAGTGTAATTAACCAATAATATTTTCATTAGATTAAAAATGCTTTGCGATAGCATCATCTACTTCATTCTATGGGTAAAGTAATTTTATTAAAAAATGATTGACGTAAAATAGACGCTAGATGGCCTAAACGCGATTAATGTAATATTCTATCTCATTCTCTCGCAGGCTAAATCCTACATATGCTTGTCTCTTTTTAGTGTCGCTGTCATCGAGTGTTTAATGCATTAAACCGTTTTATTCCCTGTTTCAAAGTCTTCTCAGAAATGGGAGGATACCTACATATATCCAGATGTTGGATGTATTAAGACTATTATTTTCCTTTTTCGTTTTGATAATTGATATGATATTTTATTGATATCATTTTCTTGAAAATAAAGTAAGTGAAATTGACTAAAGTAGAAAAGTAAAATAAACTCTACAGGTATCCTCTTGTTTGTCATTTTTGCGGCAAATAATTGAAGCAGTTTAAAACATTGGTGGTCTAGGATTTAGGTTCCCGTACCAGAGGCCTTTATGGTGTTTTACGGTTTAAGTAAATTCTTTGAAAGTGATTGTGCATCTTAGTTAGATAAATTTGCGTGTCACCGAGGCGTATTTTGACTCTGGCGCGACGTGTTATTCTGGTGTCGAATTTATAATTTGTGATAAGTGAATCCGGGACATTCAATGTCGAATTTTGTTATCTATATATTTTGTTATCCGACACGGCAAGGACAGTAGGTCCTTGCCGTGTCGGATATCACGTGTTCGATTCTGCGATGAGTGTGGAATTAGGCGAATTGAAGTTAGTTAAATGTACAATGAAGCTAAGAGACTGAATCAGTGACAGTGAAGAAAGAAGTGGTCCGGCGCCGAAGCAGTCTGAAGCGATGCAGCATTTTGGAGCAGCCTGGAACTCGGCCGCTGTTGGTCGCCTATGCTTGACAAGGCCCCATACATTCACACCTCACTATACACTACTCGCCATCCACTATTACACACACTCACGGCCTGCCCAAGCCTTGGTGCGAAGTTAGCTTCGGATAATGGTAAGTACATATAGTTTATTGTGATAGGAAATTCCATGTGGCCACGTGGCCCCGTCCCTCTGCTGCCCATCGATGGATTACTCATGGGCCCTAGTCCCGTCAACCTTTGTTGGGGCAGCTAGGGGCGTGTACAAAGATTCTATATGCTTTCTTCGAATAATACAAATTTTTCTCGTTATTCCGCTTTAAATCTTCCAATTTAGCATTTGACGTAAAAGCTAAGCATTAATTTGCTGTATCTCAGTTCGTATTTGTCGTAGAAAAATAAAAAAGCATGGTTTTTTTTTTAAAAGCTACAATTTGGCTCTTTACACTTTTTTGATAAAATGCATATTATTAGAGTAATTGTATGTAAACCTGAGTAGTCTAATCTCTACAACACTTGACTAGTGTTCACAACTATGACGTTGACACTTTTGTAATACTTTCCATGAACTTGAGCCTTACCTCTCCCGTTTGTAAAACATGCAACTAGTATGCCCAATTATGAAGATCATGTAGTAAACTGAGCAGATATTCTGCTGTCCACTAAACCAAACAGATATATAATAGTGCTTACTTTTCGTCTTTTACCAATGTCTGGGGAAGTGTGTATCTTCCAGAGAGTGTGGCGTGGCGTAAGATTTTTCGTAGTCAGCAGAATTTGGGAATCTCGCAGAGTTATGTGAATGTTATAATCAAAAAGGTTTGCTATACGGCAATGGCAATTCATTATTTTTACTGATTTTCCAAAGTGGAAAAGCTCGCATTTGATTCAACAATGTGCTGAAGTAAACAAAATAAACGCGTATAAAAGAAGGTTATAATGACCCCGTAAATTTTCCACTTACCATCTAACTGATGAAAGTACCTGATTAAATTTTCACTAAAATTTATTCTGTAGTTTTATTAGACGAAGTAAATCATAGCTTATATTAGATGGTAAGTGTACAGTGAGGACAGACTAAAATCGTACCCACACTAATTTTAATTTTGCTAACATGAAAAAGACAAGAATTGTGTGATGGAAAATTATATATAATATTTAAAAAATCTAATTTTTCACTCCGATAATTTTTTTAAATACAGCATGGTAATGTTATGTTCAGTTGATTATCACAAATTTTATGATATAACTTTTATATTGTACAGGTCTACTCATTGATGAAAGTAGATTCACATACTTACCATTTGAATATTTTTGTGTCAATTAAAGTCCATAGCTCGTTTATACGATCGAAGAATGAAAAAGGTTGCAGTATATCCGATAAATGATGAGGATTGTAAGCTGGATTGAGTGCTTCGTCAATGAGATCCAGTACCAGTGAATGTGGTTCCATAGACGATGACCAAATTAAAGGACAATTGAAAACTGATGAAAAGCTGTAATTGGCATAGAAATAATTTAGCTAAATTTGATTTTAATGTCTAAACGTAAATTTTATGAAAATTGTTTAAACTTATAAAAAATAATCTTCTTTTCCATTTATTTGCGCCATAGTTTTGACTGCTTCGTTGATCTAGTGGTTGTAGTAGTGCGACTGCTGATCATGAGGTCCCGGGTTCGAATCCCGGGTCGGGCTAAAAATCAGTTATTGAGCTTTTCCATCAAGAAACTCTCAGTAGCTGCCCGGAGTTAGGAAGCTGGCGGTGTGACATCACCCCTGTGCCTCGGAAAGCACGTAAAGCCATTGGTACTGCGCGTGATCTCTCTCCGGTCGTGTCAGTTTACCGTCCCATCGGACTATGAGAGCGAGGGAATAGAGAGTGCACCTGTGCTTGCGCATACACTTGGGCACTATAATCCTGTCCTGCGCCGATGGCTAGTCTCCATTGAGGTTGGCCGCCGTGACCGAAATTCGGTCTGGATATTATTATTGTTAGTTTTAGAGTTATTAACACAATGTGGTATTCAAACTTGAAAAAAATATTTTGTGAAGTGGTTATTTTTTATAGAATAAGGCTGAAAATCGACCACAAAGTCCACCTGATGGTAAGCGAATGCTGTGGCCCATAGACATCTATCTTCGATTAAGAATCAAAATACAGCTGCGTAGTCACCCCTGAGGACTAAGATGGAATGCTTCGTTTCCAGTAAAAAAATCTCTGGTTCTCTAGATTCACCATACTAGACACAGCAGCATTATGCTATTTAACGCTGGTATTTATGAGAGCATCGACCATCTCCGGTCGAGCCCACGTATTTGTGCTACAACCATATTATATCTGGCTCCACCACGATGTCATAGCAAATTAATACATACTACCTGTTGCTTATTTGAATTAAAAGATTCTTACCCAGCATAAAGTTCACTGTAGAGCCATTCGGCGATAACAACATCAAAATGTTCGCTTGGATCTTGAATCAATCGTTGAACGTTTGGATGGTTTATTGTACCGTTTGCGAAATCAGAGGTAGCGTATAACAGAAACTTAAAGTCCTTCAAGTTCAGTTGATTTTTTAAAACGATTTCTATGTTAAATATTTTATCTAAAATATAAAGTGAATAGCCTTTTAGTCAACTGCTGTAGCTCTGGTGCCCTATTATCGTTACCGTCACAGCTTATTATAAGTCCATAGCTGAACATAGGTCTCCCCCATAGATTGTCTCATGGGTGCGATATTTAACATAGCAGCTACGTTTGGCAGGTGGTTTATCAACCGAAGTTTTTTAGTTGTTATTCGGAAGATGCTGTCCATCTCCTGGTTTGTTTCCATATGTCGTCTCTTACGGTACAATATGGAGTGGTGGATATTCTTACACCGCAATTACAGAATGTACATTCATTCACTATTTTTAGCGAAAAAGCCGGGTATATTTTTATGTATAGTATTTAAACTTTTATTATATTTATTGGACTATGTCTATAAAATTACTTACCAGTAGGCATGAGTTCAAAGTTTGTAGATACGTCGATCTGTCTTAATTTAGGATGAGAATTTTTCATTGGAATAGGTGCAATATAGGTTACCTGAAAATAATAGATAATATTATTAATTATTTGACTGCATAAAAATATTTATTATACAGTCAATTAGTAGAATTTAAATATTTTTAGCTCGTACAGAAAATATAGATTGATTTAAATAGGTTTAGTTTTAATTTTTTTATTGTTAAATAATTGGTTTGGATTACTTAGGTGTTTTATGTTAATAAATTAGTAATACTTAAACAATTCCTAATATCCAAATCATAATATATTAATTTTATAAGTAACAAAAAAGTATAAGGGACAAAAAATATCAACATATTACACCATCAACACAAAACAAAGCTTCCTGTCGAAAAAATTACATTAGTTTATTTTGCTCGTTTTATCTGCGTTGCATGCAACTAAAATGAAACTTGAAAATTATTTTAAAATCGTGTTTAGTAAGACTTTTGTCTTCATATAAAGATAATATTTTTTTTAAATTTATAAAGAAGTAAGACATTTAAGGTATAGACATAAAACTGTCTTGGTAACCTAGGCCAATGCCTAAGTTACCAAGACAGTTTTATGTCTATACCTTAAATGTCTTACTACTTACTACTTACTTACTACTTACTTACTACTTACTTACTTATTACATAAAACTGTCTTGGTAACTTAGGCATCGGCTTAGGTTACCAAGACAGTTTTTGTGTTTGAAAACTGTGGTTATTGGCTGATTACGAGTAGATCTCTTGTAGAAATGACAAATTTCGGGGCAAACGTGTTATCGAGTGAATAAATGAGAGATTATGAGTTCAAATAAACGATGTGCGACGACTTGTGGTTAGATGAAACGACGATCTGCGCGAGGCTGTTTGCAGAATGTAAATTCGTGAAGTCGATGATCGGTATAGTTAGCGCACCTTAGGAGAGCGCTTTTCTACAGTAGAGTGGCAGTGTAAGAATATTCGGTACGTACGTGTCGTAAGAGCGACAGAGGGAAACTGAAACAGGTGATAAGCAGCAGCGTCTTCCTGATTACAACTCAAAATAATATAAACACTGCGGTTGCCAACCTGCCAAGCGTGGAATTAATGGTAAAGTCCTATGAGGAATTCTATGGTGGAGGTCTATGTACAACGGAATTTTGTAGGCTATAAAGGATGGATGGATGGGATCTCGTGACACAAACTAAGTTGAAGTGTATTTTTTTTATAGGAGAGCGTGACAAACGAGCACACAGTCCACCTGATGGTAAGTGGTTACTGTGACACATAGACATCCACATCTATCCTCCATAAAGACTCAAGAAGCAGATGCGTTGTCACCCGTGAGGACTAAGTTGGAATGACTCTTTGCCAGTAAAAAGGGTCTCCGGTTCTCTACACTCACCATATGAAACACAGCAGTGTTAAGCTGCTATTTTACGCTGGTTTTCTGTGAGAGCGTGGTCCTTCCCCGGTCAAGCCGACCCATTCGTGCTACAACTATACTACTAATATAGCTGCAGCATGGCTCTACCACGATGGGGGCGATTCTGTGGTCTATAGATATCTGGTGATACTATATGTAAAATTTATGAGCAAATAGCCACCGCTCGCGTCTTCGCTCGCATGGAATCGGAAATTTCTGCGATTTGTTTATAGTTGCTCCCTAAGGAACTATTTTTTTTAAAGATTTTTTAAGAGGTTTACCGTACCGTGTGTTACAGGACATAGTCTACCCTTGTACCCATAGACTTACTATTATAATAATTATAGTTACAGAAATAAGGAAAATTGAAAGCGAAAATATAAATCCTCGTTATTCCTTATGCAGTGGGAATTTCAAAAATATTTTGTACCTCTATAAAATGTTGCACGACGTAGATATTGTGAACATAAACATATGGAAAAGTGCAGAAAAAGAGAGTTTATTTATAATACGAGTATGTGTTGTATTGTTTATGCTCATACTACCACTGTCAAACACTTAATCGTCTGAGTTCAAACTTTCGCACAGAGTAGAGATTGTCGTAGAATAATTTTAAAATGTTTCCAACAAATAATTAATGAATAGGAGAGGTTGTTCAGTAGTAGGTGTTTGAAAATAAAAGTCAACATATAAGCAGATTCCTAGTAACCCTGCAAAATTCAAGTGTGTCATCTGCAAGAAACCAGACATTTGCTGTTCTGAAAAATACTGTATTAAATAGGGTTTTCTTACACTCATTTTTAATTCTAACTCAGAAACAAGCAGTGATGTACAAGATACCTTAAATAAAGTATCTGGAATACAAAATGAAAAATACTATAAAACTAAGTATTTCAGATACCAGATGCAAATAACATTCTGGAATGGTATCTGAAATACAACATATAAAATACGTATTTTTTGAATACTTTTTAAAGATAAAATACTTTTGTAAAAAACAACATTTTATTTAATGAAAGTTTATTTTTTAACATGTAAATCGCGTTGATCGCGCAAACATGACACAAAATAATATTATATTTTTAAGGTTTTAATTGAGACTTAAGTAAAAGCAGTTCGTCAAACAGTTTATCACTCATTTTTCTTTGATGAGGCCTCGTGATCATGTCCCTAAATGAGAAGAGTCGCTCTACAGGGGCTTCTCATACGACTAAATAATTACGTGCACAGACTAACTAGTAAATTCTAACCGAATCAGATGGACATCTCACGAACAAAACTAACTCGACTTAGCTTCTGCATCCTTATTGGTTGTAGCAAAATGATATATGACATTTCTTTTTTTTTTTAATTTGAAGCAAATATACCAGGCAAAGGACGTCCCAAATAAGTTCATTTATTAATTACTTGCAAATTTTATTTTAAAATATTGAAAATAAAACGAGGTAAATGCGAATGAAACAATGTTGAATTTATGTATTCATTTTATTTTTCAGATTTTTCTTATATTTTAACAGACCTTTACCTTGCATTTCTGGTAGCTGCCTTATTTCTAAGTGAACAATATCTACACCTTTTAAAATTTTATTAATAATAGTGCACCAGTTATAAAGATAGATATTTATTATGAACCTAGGTATTTTCTTTTGTGGTGAGGTCCTTCCTGCACGTGGCACTTGATTTTTGAAACAAGTTTTGTTTTTGACCCACTTATGCAGTGTAAGCATGGGGCTGTAATTTTAGACGCCAGCAGCTTGCTTCTAGAATTAATGGATAAGTATCAATATAAGATTCACCAGTTTCACCACTTTTGTTACTCACATCCTTTTGAAACAGGCTCTTTATTTTTAATAATATTGCGCTAACATTATCTTCACAATTAAAAGATGAGCGGTAAATCTTAATAAATCCTGTAATTAATACAGATTTAAGAGCATTATTATGAAATTTTGGCAAGTCAGGATATGGTCCCTAAAATTGTATGATTTTATTTGAATGAAAAATTTTTCGACTCTCATAATTTTTATGTTTTTCTTGGACAAAAACTGCCACAATTTCTTAAATCTGGATGGTCCCTCAAATTGTATGATTTTATTTGAATGAAAAATTTTTCGAGTCTCATAATTTTTATGTTTTTCTTGGACAAAAACTGTCAAAATTTCTTAAATCTTTTTATGTTGCTTATTCAGTTCTTTATACTGGGCAATGTACAATCATGACCATTTTCATTAATAAATTTTATATTTTGTTCTTTCAACAAAGCTTGCTACCAGAATGCCAAAATTCTTAAATCTCTCCCTCTTCTTTTTTTATTTATCACCGCACTTCCATCCACACTGTTAAATAGGTCGTCTAAAAAAGATACTATTTCAGAATTATTTTTCTGCTTTTTGCTCACTGGCCGCAGATCCAAATAATGAGCTGTAATAAATATTTGAAATATTATTAAATTAAATATCATTACATACTCGGTACAGTATTTTTAAGTTACTGCTGTGCTGTGCTGTGGCCCACAGACACCTACATTAATCCTCTGTTGTAAAAGTATCAAAATGCAAATGCACCCCTGAAGACAAAAGAATGTCTTGTTACTAGTAAAAAGGGTCTCTGGTTCTCACCACTAGCCATGTAAAACACTTAAGTTTTATGGTGCTATGTATAAATATATTTAATAAAATTTAATACAATAATTAATGTGATAACTTACAAAATGCAGAGGTATAATTTGAGGGTCCTGCCACGTTTTTACTAAATACACAAACATAATTCTTAACCTGCAAATAATCCATAAAAATTTGATTAGGAAAACGTGTATTACACATACAAAAATTAAATTACATATAATAGAATTAAAATTACAATTATTTTATACCTTAATTTTTTTCAGAAATAACATGTTCGACGTTAATTTTGGGTAATAATCGTGTTTCTGCATGTTCATAGTTTTTCTTAACTGTCCATGTAGAAATCTTTTCTTGGTATTGTGTATTGTTTTGTTAAAATATTGTTTCGCATTCCTTTAATTAAATGTGGTAGATCAAATATGACAATCATATAAATACCACTTATATGTTATCAGGTCATCTAAAAATTTTAAACATATTAGTTATAAGGCAATTCTATTAAAAGAAAACATAGCGGTAAAATTTTGATTAATTGTACCTGTGTTTTTTATTTTCTCGTATTTCAACTGCTCTAGTTTCATCTTGCAGTAGTATAAGGGCAGATCTGAATGTAGCCCCTTGATCTGAGACTACTGTTAGTGGAATAAGTCCTGTATAACTAACACTCGCAACAATTTCTTTTAAAATATTTTTCACTTCAATAGTAGATGTTGATCCCTCACTATAGTATAAAGCTATCGGTTGATACAAGTAAATGCAAAGATAGGCGGAAATAAATCAACGCAACCAAATGAAAATTTATCAGTAATAAATCAGTAATATCATTTAGTGACACATCAAATCAGTGACAATGGCAAAACAAACGAGTTGAATGTAAATTCAAGAAAAACAACTTCCTTCTGCGTGAATCCCATATCTCTGGTGCCCTTTGACCTACAGGACCCAAATTCAAACTCGACCGAGCTACTACCTCAAGGTATCCACATACCAAATTTAAAGTCAATCGGTCCAGTGGAACGG